AAGTTCATATGCCATTTATCCTCCTTCATTCAGCCCACATATTATTTCCTCTTGGCACATGTTAAGTGCATGCACTCTGTATACAAACCATGGGATAAAATGAGCAGAGCAATGTACCGAGTCTATATTACTTAGACAAACATCAAGTAAGGGAATTCTGTGGTGGTCAGAAAATAAGGTTAAGAAAATATATTTCTTAGGATTCTCTAACCAAGGAATCAAAAATAACTCTGCTATTTTTCTTTTCTGGTTAACCTCAAGTTGAAATGAAGGGTTTAAATTCATTTCTTCTATGGACTGAGACATGCTATTTTTGAGCATGTTTATTCAACAGATAACTTTGTTACAGCACAGTATGTATTTAAATTATCCCTAAATATAGCTTCTAAAATTATGTAAATTGATGCTTTTTTGTTGAGACAGCACAACTTTAAATTCTGATTATTTTATGGGAGCCTAGAAAAATGAGACTTGCCCAAGAGCAAATGATCTCTGATGTTCTCCCAGTATCAATTAAGTCAAGTTTACAACTGCACCTTATTTCTTACAGAAAAGCCTAAGAAATTTAACTTTATGCAGGTAAACTGCTGTACAGTCAATACTTAAAATTTCACACCTGAAACTGGATTTGGGTCAATTTTTTTTCCAGCTCACTCACACACTGCTAAGCCGTTGTGATGGCCCCTTCAGTTCTACCTCATGGAGAGGGTCTGTCTACAGAACAAGCCTTCAGCTGAGTTTTGAAAGGTCTGGTGTTTCAAAGTTCAGCAAAAGTATGTGTCTGGGGAAACAAGCTGCCACTGTAAGTACTTTTATCCTTTTTCTTTATTGTTTTCATTTTTGGTTTTGTTTTGTTGGTTTTTTTTTTATTATCTAACAAAAGGTCAGGTCTACAGAGAGCTACCACAAAGGTTCTGTAGAGCAGGTGGACTAAGAAATGCTGGAAATATTTAGACAAACATTACACCACTAAACTATTTTGCTCTGGATTTTTTCCTTAAGAACAGTTCAACCTTTATAAAGCATCATGGTTTCCCGTAGAGGAAATGTGGTTTTTACAGCCTTTTCTAACTGTTCAAGTTAAACACCATACTATAATTCCTTCACTATAATAGAATGGTTTTTTTTCCAAATAGCTGACCATCAGTAAACCCTAATAATACACTTACAGAGCTAACATTTCATATCTGCATGCAAATAAAAAGTATATCCAAATAAAATAAAATTTAATAAAAATAAAATTTGTAAGACTATCACTAAGGAGTACCTTATTTAAGCCCTTTTTCTGTCCTAACTCTTAAGCTACTTCAAGCATAATTTCCTTTTTTTTTTACATCGCAAGCATTTGGAAAGGTGTGTAAAGATCAAGGATTTCACAGTGAATCTCTGTGCATCCATTCCGTGATCTGCACCCTCTTTCTTTTCATCCAGTTCTAAGTTACATGTGATTTACAAGCCCTTGACTCCAACTATTGGAATTAGTATAGCTGATAAATTTGTAGCATATGAAGACAGATTTTTTTTTTACCTTTTTTTTTTTTTTTTACTTTTTCTTTAAACCTGCATTTCAACACATTAGCACTTTTTTTGCACTTCTAGACGCAGACTCTTCCTTAGAGAAAGAGAGAGAAAGGAACTTCAAAGAGGGACCATGCACCATCAGTCAGTTTCACCACATGAAACACTGAACTGCTCAGTCCTGGGATGATCCTGTCAATCCAAAACTTAGAGGTCTATTTTATATAAATCTGTTTTCTGTGATAAAAAATTCCTAACAACTTTCAATAATGAGAAAAGGAAATGTTCAGCTTCCAAGGAAGACACAAAGCACCTTATTTTAGTTTAAGGAAGCTCAATAATAAGAAATTTTAGAGCTGCCAACATTTTCTGATTTATAGCAGACTTTCTTATTCTGGGAGAGCAAAAAGGTGCATTATGCAGTCCTAATATTAATTATGCAGATAAACAAATTACAACATGGTTATTAATACTGTGTATGACAGACATAAAATGAGTTCTTTGAGATCATGTCAAAAATCCTTTCAAAGTGTGTGCATCTCCTGCTACTGCATCTTCTTTTTCCTCTCCCACCACCTAACAAAGTACTTGAGCAAAAGTTTTCAACTGGTGGGTGAAATTCTCACCATTTCCTATCAGAAGATATATCACAATATTCAACTAAAACTATTAAGCTGGAAAAATCAGTGCTAGAAATAGAATATGCATCTCTACAGAAGGTAGCCTGACAGAATCATCACCTAAGTGAGCAATTTTTGATGAGGAGTAACAAAGAAAGCAAGCTCTTTCAGGAGATATACTCCCATTTCATATTTCACTGTGACAACTCCTGGGGACTATTTTGTCTTTTTATTAGGTTTTTTTTTGCAGCTGTTCACCTATATGCTACGCCAGACTCTCACTCCATTAGTTTTATTTAATAGTTTATACTTCATCTACCATACCTCTCAAAGGAAGACAAATCAAATAAGTACATTGCTACTTTGGCATACCAGAAACGACAAGAAAAAGGGTTTTGATCAGTTATAAGTAAAATAAAAGTGTTGATATCTCTGTAAAGTCAGTACTGAGTTTACAAGCTCTAAAGCACCTACCACTCAATAGCACTCAGCCTTGGTTGATGTTCAGCATGCCACGCAGTATTTAGCTCTGGTGGATCTAACACTGCTACAAGATGACTTTACAGACCAGGGCATCAATGCAGCACTCAAAGGGATTTTAACTGTAACAAACTGATTTCTCAACTCAATGTTGATCTAGCAGCACTAATGACATTAATAGATACAGAGAGCATTTTCCTATAGGCATTCATGCAGTCAGCAAATGTCTCAGGAAGAATATGGATATCAGTAAGGTTGGTTGAAACCTGCCAACTCCTATTGCAAGACTCATTCAGAGAGTGGCTTCTCACACGCATCTCAAAATCTTACTAGATCTCATATTAAAGATCTCACTATAAATGTTTCTACATAATTATGTTTCATACATATATTTACAGTAAAAATAAATTGGGAAAATAAATTGGTAATCTCTAACTGTGACACTATCTTTGGCTACATCAAAAGATGCAACTGGAACACTACAGCCTCTATCCCCAAAAAGCCTTAGCACAGTGACTTAGAACTGGAAGGACATCAGTAGAAATTAAATACGACAGAGAATGAGAGAGGTCTAGAAGGCAGGATCGGTCTAAATTCAAGAAATCCTCCTAAATATTGGCTGAATTAGATTCATAAAGCAACACATTTTTAATCAACTCCTAGAACACAGCACTGCTAATGAGTCTCAATTATTTTCTTTTACAGTTGCATATACAAAACCAAAAAGTACATGCAGTGATCTCTTAGTTTGTGAAATTAAGAAGCTAAGTGCCAGAATTTTAATTGTTCTACCTCAATTACTTTAATTTAGAACACTGTGTATGCACGTTCTGATAAAAAAAAGCATTTTAAACTAAATTATACCACAATGTGAATGCTAAGGAAACGAGGTATTTCATCAGAATAACTCACACTATTTAGCCCATCAATAAGTGAGTGATAAAGATCCCTCCTTCACAATACACTAGTGGTTTGTTGTTCTGAGGTACAGAGTTCATTATATTGAAGTCCAGTACATTGAAGAAAAGGACAGCTGGTACCATTACTATTATTAAGCCATTAAAGTGCCAGAACAAAATAGTTTCTGGAAAAAAAACACAACATTATTTTCTCAAAGTTTATGCGAAGAATGGAAACAAATCTTTTTCCAATTAAAATTCAATAAATTCTAATTCACTGAAATAAAAAACTTACACATGTGCTTTCTTAGAGAAACAGGAGGAATGCAGTGTGTAATATAATACATCTTAATCCCTACATCCTCATAACTAGAAACTATTTGGAACTCCCTGTAAGCTGTGACAGTAATGGAAAAATCTCAATTCAAATAAACCAAAAGAATGCAGATAAGTTATTCTGCCTCAGGTTTTTACAGAAAACATCCTGCAAGTATTCTTTGCTTTGTTCCAACTGTTCCTCAGCATTCCACCCCAACGGTCAAGATGACAACCACATGTATGAAGAGACTGTCCTGGTGAAAGAAGGAACTCGTGCAGCTCCAATGCAAAAGGGGCTGTATCAGGTGTAAGCAGGGACAAGGAGGAATTTAGAAAGACCACATGGGCATGCAGGGATTACGTCAGGTTAAACAAACTTCAGTGGGAGTTATGATTTGCATGGATTGTCAAGGGCAACAGGAACAACTCCTACTCCTCCAATAGTACTGGAAGTTTGAACAGGGATAAAAGGTTGAACAGGGAAAACATCAGCCTCCTACTGACCTGGGCAGATGACCTAGTGGCAGCAGAAATGGATGATGCTGAAGGACTCAATACCACCACTAAAGTATTGAAGACGGCATCTGTTGTTTAGCAGAAGGGATTCAAGAACTATCATGTGGAGAGTAAATGTTTAATACCCCTTACTCCACCTGAGCCAGCAACAAGTGGAATAGCACAAGGGTTGATCCTGGTACGCATCCTGTTTAATGCCTTAATGAAGAAGGGGAGGCAATAGAACACAGTCTGTGAAGTTTGTAGATAACACCAAATTCAGAGAACCAGCTGATAAGCATGGGGAGCTGCCACCCAGAGAGGCCTGCTTGGGATGAAGGAAGTGGACAAGAGCAACTTCATGAAATAAAGTGCACACATGTGGACTTGTGCACTTGGAAAGGAATAACTCCATGCAACAGTACAGGCTGGTTTTAATCACAAAGGAAAATGAGTCACTCACCTTTAAGTGATACACTCAGCTACAAATGCTGAACAAAATTTGAAAGCCTAGTTTATTTCATTTGCGTAGAATACAGTCCAAATTTTTATATAACACACTGAATGCACTTTTCCCACGCCATTCTACATTAAAAGCAGAGGTTTCCATGAAGTGATTACACAATACTTAGCCTACTTCTGGAAAAGATTTTTGGCATTTATATCTTACCTTTGTATGCAATAATTGGGTGCTCAGCTCTGTGGCAGTGGGTATCTTCTGTTGTTGTTGACCCCAATATTCCTAATACCCCAAGTCCTGCCAATAGCAGTGTGAGGAAGCAGCTTCCTTTCATGGTGGTCATGCTGTCCTCCACAGCAGTCACTTCTTTTAGCTGTCTACTCTTCTTGCACTCATGTGGGAAAAGCACCTGGAGAATTCAAAGAATTTTATTTAAGAATGAGAGCAAACCACAGGAAAAAAATAGACAATTCTTGAAGTTTAAAACAAAACAACATTGCTTCCTTTTTGTGTAGCATCTGACTACTCAAAAGTATGCTGTCAGCTGCTCCTCTAATTACTTCAGAAATCTAACATCAGTTACCCAATTTAGGAAAATTGATCACCCAGCAGGATTAAAAAATTGATATTCATTACCCCTCTCTATTTTGTAACACACAGGGAAAAGAATATTCTACAACACTTTTTTATTTTATCCTCTTAATAGAGCAAACATATTTAAATCTATCTTCCCTTTCACTGGGATCCACTGCTTCTTGCCTTGGTTTCCTGAGAGAGCAAGCAGTGCTTTGATTTCTTGCAAGTACAAGGTAGAAGAGGAATTGGTCCCTCATGTGAATGACTACTTTGACAGAACAATAGCCCTAGAGTATGTATTTTTTGCCTATTTGTAGAGTTTGTATGGAACAGCACAGAAAGGGGTAGGACAAGATTCACCTCAATGTTCTGACACACTTTTGCTTTACAGCAGTGAGAGTCACTGGTCACTGGCATAGTCCCCATCCATTTCCTGACTGATGACGAGGCTGTGAATTGCAGACTCAAATGATGACGACCCCTTTCTAGTAAAATTTAGATACCAATCAACAACGCAATGGTTTTCATTCTGAATCAGAAAAAAGTTGATGTTCAACTCCCTGATTTTTTGAAACATCCAATAACCAGACTCTTATACAGGTAATAGAATATGTACAGTGTCAATATAATTTTAGATCCAACCCAGTTCCTTTAGTTTCCTCACTAAAAATGTGCCAAGCAGTTACAACCTAATCATACAACCCAAAAAAAACCTTCACCACTAGCAGCTTTAGTGCTTCACACAGCCTTGCATGCTGATACGCAGAAATGAGACATCACTGCCTTTCGTGGGGGAGGAGCAGAGATTTGAGACAGCTCCATAAAGGCAGAAATGTCACTCTGCTAATTAATGGAGACATTCAGGAAAAGAAAATCAGCAATTTGGAGTTCTAATATGTTTGATCTCACTGAGTTTGTAGCGTGCTGTTTAATAAGGTGGAAACTTTCTATTTGCACAAAATAAACATCCTAAATGCACAAAACAAAGGGCTGTTAATGAAAAGACACTCCACAATAACAGCAGAGTGCTCTAAAAGCTACATTCAGAAGGCAGAATGGATAGTAAACACTGGTCCCTAAGATTACTAGCACCAGACTAACTGCTAAGCGTAAGACTAACTGCTCTTCTCTTACCACCTCATTTTGCTGCCTTTAGTAGTCTTCCAGCCTAGACGTGGACACTTCTAATCCTCATTCATTTAAACTAAAATAAATAGCTCAAAGGCATAATACATCTGAGCAGCAAATTTAATAGTCAATTTTAGCTTCTTTGCTAAATTTTCTTAAGTCACTGAATAAAAAAGGAGGAGAAGCTTTGAGGCAGTTAGATTCATATCCTTACCTTCCTAAATAGTGTCTTATGATGTCATTTACCAAGAAGAATCTGGCCCTACAAATTGCTTGTGGCTCACAACAGGCAGTATCTGGTCACAGAAGTTCTGGATACTAATGTATGTAGTGCATAAAGCACTTGTTCCAATATTTTATAGTTCATTTTCTGTAAGACTGATATTTATATGTATGATACACTATTCTTACACAAATTCAAGCAGTTTATGTGGGTTGTAGTGTTACTATTCCTAACTTAAATATCATACAAATACACTACTAACAGCTACGAAGCAAAATGAAGGTCTGATACCTTCATGGAGGTCTCAAAAAATGGTTTTCTTGCACACAGTACAGCAGCAAATATCTCAAGATATGGTACTTCCTTGTTAAAAAAAAACCCCAAACTTCATTTTTTTTAATTTTGAAAGTCTCAGAAATACTCATAAATGTGTGAGTATAACAGAAAAGACTCAAACATATGTATGATACACTATTCTTACACAAATTCAAGTAGTTTATGTGGGTTGTAGTGTTACTATTCCTAACTTAAATATCATACAAATACACTACTAACAGCTATGAAGCAAAATGAAGGTCTGATACCTTCATGGAAGTCTCAAAAAGTGGTTTTCTTGCACACAGTACAGCAGCAAATATCTCAAGATATGGTACTTCCTTGTTAAAAAAAAAAACCCAAACTTTATTTTTTTTTTAATTTTGAAAGTCTCAGAAATACTCATAAATGTGTGAGTATAACAGAAAAGACTCAAACAAAAATAAAATGAAACATTTGTATTGAAATCATAGCCTTCTTTATCTCTCTGGCGGTAAATGAAGTCCATGGTCTTTATGTAACCAGGCTTCCATATCCCAGCCAAGTTTTTAAAAAAACCAGCTCTACTCAGCAAACATGGCAAAAAGATAATGCTCATTCCACTTGCCCTGCGCACTTTGCTCCACATCTTTGCAAAAGAGTAAAGATTTGGAAAAAAAACCTGTTCATGTGAAGTAACTACTCCAGAAGACCTTTTTGAACTAGCACAAGCCTGAGGAAAAAAAGTATTTAACTAATAAAACAAACTGCACATTCTATGGGTTCATTACATCAGAATTACGAGTACAAAGAAAGATGTTGTTCCATATTGCTACTGCACACACTTTAAAATAGCAGTAATTATTTAATCTTTGGTCATGATAATTTTATGAAAAATAACTAGTTTGTCTACTCTATTGCTAGTGGTACCTTTTTTAAATTTATTAAAAGAAGAGAACACTTGCTTGCCGCTGCAAGTGACAAGAAAACAGGGACAACTGTTGTTTCCTCATCACCAAAAAAAGGCCACACTGTTGTGTATCACTAGTATCATGTAGACAAATGAGGAAAGAGAGCACCACGAATACCCCTGCAATGTAGCTCAGTGCCTCTATATGTAATTCTTATTGACTTGTTAAAGCCAAACTCCTCAAACTAATGCAAAACATTTGAGAGGAAGATTGTTAGAGAAAAGAATACATAAAAAAGACTCTGTCACCACACCTACCAAAAAAATTTAGCTAAATTCTAAGGCAATGTGTATGGTCTCAACTCACCAGTAGTGACAAGCCCTGGAGCTCAGAAGGAAAAAGGGATGGAGGCCAGAAACAGGCCTTTTAAAAAAAAAAAAAAAAAAAAAAAAAAAAAAAAAAAAACCCCAACCAAAAAAGTCCCCCAAGCAGTTGTTCTTACTGTAGTGCATCCTGTTTCCTGTCAAATGCACAACACCCTCAAACCTATACCTCTTTATAGAATAATATCTTTGAAATACATTGCTTACTCAGTATACCTTTAGAAAAACAATTTGCAATAGTTCAAAGATCACCTCACTAAACATTGTGATAAGACTGCAAGCTACAGATCTTCTTCAGTGAAATGACCCAGCCTTCCACCATCAAGTCTCATCATTGGACCCAGAAATGCAGACTGTTTACTATGCATAGCCTTCTTTATCTCTCTGGCGGTAAATGAAGTCCATGGTCTTTATGTAACCAGGCTTCCATATCCCAGCCAAGTTTCAAAAAAAACCAGCTCTACTCAGCAAACACGGTAAAAAGATAATGCTGTTTCTCCAGGAAGAAAGAAAAGGACCACCACCCTTCATCCAAATATTAAATATACACATAGGTATGGATGGCTTGGTTTCCATTACAGAAAGGATAATGGGACTAACATTAACTAAAGTTAATTTCATGGGACTAACAGTGGTATTAGTAAGGACTAAGATGTAAATTAACAAGACTGATGCCTTGTACCCTGGACGTATCAAGAGGACTTCTCTCACCTGTCCCCTATGAACAAAAATCAGTAGCAGAAAAAAAGATTCCTTCACAACACCACCTTTCCTTGGCCTCTAAATCCAAACAGCATCCTCTTTCATGACAGACTCCTTACATGCCATAGGTGGTGTCTGACACAGTTGTTTGCATGTTATAGTCATGCTGTGGAAGAATTTTGGGGCCAAGGACTTTTTTCCTTGCTAGCTGAACTCTTCCTCTCACTGCACCTATCTCACATGGCAAAAACTGAGACAGGAAACACTCTCTCATTTAGAATATCCAAAAACAAGGAGAAAGGAGGAGGAGGAAAAAAGAAAGGTGTGAATACATTTCTGACCATATATCTCAGAAAAAAACAGTAACTGCCTAAACTTCTCTCTACCTCGACCTCTAGCTATTTATGTGTATTGCACTATTTTAATAATTGAAATCTATTAATGATTTTTGATGTATTATTTTAAATACATTATTGCAGGGAACTGTGAGGAGAAGCTTACTTGCAACAACTCAGAGGAGAATCTCCACGAGCTCTAAGTGACAGAGGAACAGTAAATCAAGGCAGTAGATAGAAACCTTATTACAAGTTCTTTATGTTTCTACCCATTTCACTACACTAGTGTATGCATGGAAGGAGAAAGGGGTCTGAAGACTGCACCTAAAACACTGCTAGAGTAAAAAATAAAAAAATGCATTTCTTAAAGATCCACAAACAAAACAAGGAAATCCAACCAACCAAAACTCTCCCCTCAAGAACCAAAAAACCTGTACAACCCCAACCCCCACAAAAAATACAATTAAACCCCCTCCAAAGAAACACACACCTTCAACATATACCCACAGCATGAAGCAATGAACAGACACCTTAGAAATTACATCAAAACCAAATCTTTTTCCACAGAACTTGTACAGGCTAGATTGCTCCCTTCTGTACATCCTTGAGCAAGGACCACTGCATCAGTTCCACCGCTGCCCGAGAGAGCAGCTGTAAGAGTGAGCATGCCATACAGACCTGAGACTGCAACAAGTCAGAAGGCTTGAGGCAGACAAAGTAATCTCTCCTGAAATCACTCCCTCTCCTTACTGAGAGTGCAGCTTTCATGCCAAGAAGGGATAGCCAGCCTGAAGCAATATGGCAAGTCAAGACAAAGCCGAGAGAGCCCTAAACATGAAAAGATTCAGCTGGTTTCC